CACTAGATCCACTACAGTTTGCATACAGGGAGAGAGTGGGTGTGGATGATGCCATCGGATATCTCTTGCACAGGATGCATGCTTACCTGGACAAGGGGAAAAGTGCTGTGAGAATCATGTTCTTTGATTTCTCCAGTGCTTTTAATACCATTAAACCCCTCAGACTAGGTGACAAGCTCATGCAGATGGGTGTGGATGCTCACCTAGTTTCCTGGATTGAAGACTATCTGACGGAGCGGCCCCAGTACGTCAGACTGAAAAATTGCCTCTCTGACACTGTGATCAGTAGCACTGGAGCTCCACAGGGAACAGTGCTCTCCCCAGTCCTGTTCACACTGTACACGTCTGACTTTTGCTACAACACAGAGTCATGCTACATGCAGAAGTTTTCGGACGATACAGCAATTGTGGGGTATATCAGGGATGGGCAGGAGGAGGAGTACAGGAGCCTGGAGGAGGATTTTGTGCAATGGTGCAAACTCAACCACCTACAACTCAACATTACTAAGACCAAGGAGATGGTGGTAGATTTCCGGAAGTCTAAACCCACTCTGCTGCCAGTCACCATTGAGGGGGTTAATGTAGAGATGGTTAACACTTACAAGTATCTGGGAATACATTTGGACAACAAACTGGACTGGTCAGTCAACACTGAGGCACTGTACAAGAAAGGGCAGAGCAGGCTGTACTTCCTGAGGAGACTGCGGTCCTTCAATGTCTGCAGCAAGCTCCTCTGGATGTTCTACCAGTCTGTTGTTGCCAGTGTCCTCTTCTATGCTGTGGTATGCTGGGGAGGAAGCACTAAGAAGAAGGATGCTGGATGACGGGACAGACTGGTAAGGAAAGCTGGCTCGGTTGTGGGAGTGGAACTGGAGTGTATCACTTCAGTGTCAGACAAAAGGACCCTGAACAAACTGATAAATATTTTGGACAATGACTGTCATCCACTCCATAACACTATCTTACATCAAAAGAGCTCTATCAGTGGGAGGCTATGTTCACTGCCATGTACAACTGACAGACTGAGGAAGTCTTTTGTCCCTAGAGCTATACAGCTCTACAATGCTTCACTTAAAGGAAGAGGTGAGACAGACTTCTCTGCATAGTCTATCTGCCTCTTCACCGCTTCATACATTCACATACACTTCCATGACCTCTTACAACAATGTGTGCACTGACTCACTGTGTGATTGGTTTGCTATTTATACTGTCTAAGGACTATATTAGCCCGCATGTATAACCCCCTTAATTCTCAGTCTGTGGATTCATGATTGGTATATTTTACTGTTCTTCTTGAGTCTTCTTTAGCATTCTACTTGCATTTTTATTTCGTTGTATGCTGTATTGTGTGTGATGTCTTTGAGCTACTAGAACCCTGAATTTCCCCTTGGGGATCAATAAAGTATCTATCTATCTATCTATCTATCTATCTATCTATCTATCTATCTATCTATCTATCTATCTATCTATCTATCTATCTATCTATCTAATCATCTATCTATCTATCAATCTATCAATCTATCTATCTATCTATCTATCTATCTATCTATCTATCTATCTATCTATCTAACTAACTACTCCTGAATATGTGCTATTAGGCATTCTATCATTACGGTAGTTATCAAAGTGAAGGATAAACATCCAGCCAATCACCTTTCAGGAAATAGACACCACTTTAAACAGTTGATTCATAAAACCCTCATAATAAACCATTTACAGCCAAGTGTCCAATCAGCCAAGTGTCCAATAAGCCAAGTGTCCAATCAGTGATCGATGGCGTTGGCATAATTTACTGCAGCGCTGGAGAAGAGCTAAATGTAGCTGAGCTAACAGTGCAGTAGTGAACACTTCAATACGCTTCAAATGAGCTGAACACACGTGGACGTGGACGAGGGAACTCCTTCAGTCTCGCTGAAACAGGAAACCCACAGTGAGGCCCTGCACCCAGGAAGTGCTGATCTGTCACGTGACTCTGACGTTTCAGTGACGTCAGACTTGTTCAAAGATCAGTAACGTTTTTAGAGGCCCACTTAAAGTGAGACTAAACCGAATCTGGTCTAAAATTTAGTTTAAACTTCAGCGTGCTTCTGTTTCCTGACACGAAAAAGCTTTGTGGTGACCCTGATTAAGTCGTATTTCTTCTTCTAAATGAATATTGCACTGCAGAAAGGGTTTAACCGCCGCAGTGGCTTTTTGTTTTGAACGGAAAAAGTGTTTCTCAGCCACAAACCTGTTTTCACGACCCCCAAGCTGATAAAAAAATCTTCCACTGACTTTGACCAATCGTGTTAGAGATCCGATCTACATCAAAGGCCTGGTTTAAAAAAAAAAAGTCATTGTTTGCGTTTGTGCATCTCTGACTAAACATCTCAGTTTAACCGCAACCAATGAGCTGCTAGAGAAACATTTTCCACTGGCGTGGACCAATCAGATTACAGAACACACGAGCGCATGAAAGATGTTCAGCAGCACGAGCCGCTCAGCACCAGTGTCTGAGATGGAGACATCAAGAGTCGCTCTCATCGCTCTCGTGTGTAAGTCTCATTCAACTTCTACACTTTCTACACCATTCACACCTGCTGGGGGCTTGTGTAGAAGTTTGTACCCCCTCCTTAGTGTAGTGGAAAGTGTGATGTTGTGTAGAAGTTTGTACCCCCTCCTTAGTGTAGTGGAAAGTGTGATGTTGTGTAGAAGTTTGTACCCCCTCCTTAGTGTAGTGGAAAGTGTGATGATGTGTAGAAGTTTGTACCCCCTCCTTAGTGTAGTGGAAAGTGTGATGATGTGTAGAAGTTTGTACCCCCTCCTTAGTGTAGTGGAAAGTGTGATGTTGTGTAGAAGTTTGTACCCCCTCCTTAGTGTAGTGTAAAGTGTGATGTTGTGTTGCAGGTGTTGTGTTCTCCGGTCAGAAGAGGATCTCTGGAGCAGAAGTGGAGATGAGAGTCAGACGAGGAGACGACGTCACTCTCTACTCCGACTGTGATGTGAAAGTTGGATTATATTCAGTGTGGTTCAGAAACTGTTCACTTCAGAACCAACCTCGTCTGATGATCTCATATTCAGATTTTATGTACGATCCTTTTCCACGTTACTCGTTTGTCTTTAATTTCTCCACCAACGGACACAATCTGCTGATTAAGAACGTCACAGAATCAGATCAGGGCGTGTACTACTGCGCTCTGAGGGAAAACAATATTATAAATGATAAAGACGGCATAAAAAACAGGGAAGTATATCATTATGGAAACAGATCGACTCGACTCTCTGTACTCGGTAAGATTGTGTCGATTCTTTCATTTTGTAAAAGTTTGACAAATATTTATTCTCTTTGATCATTTTTCAAGTTAGAGCTTTATAATAAAATACTGCAGTGTGGGTGTGTGTGTGTGAATCAGAGTGGAGTGTTTTTTTTTTGTCTTTGCTGAATACTTTAATCTAATTTAGATTATCTGAATAAAACTGAAAAATGTTGTGAAGACATTATTAGACTCAAAATTGTGTGTGTGTGTGTGTGTGTGTGTGTGTGTGTGTGTGTGTGTGTGTGTGTGTGTGTGTGTGTGTGTGTGTGTGTTCATTAGGGACAGATCCTCCATGCTATACCGTCTCTCCAAACACCCCGACCCCGTGTGTATCAGAGTGGAGTGTTAGCTGGAAGCTGGTGTTGGGTGTGTGTGCTGTGTGTGTTCTCCTCTCCTCACTCCTCTCCTCCATCTGTGTGTACTGCCTCTGCACTAACACCACTAAAGGTACTCACACACTCACTCTGATCACTAACACCACTAAAGGTACTCACACACTCACTCTGATCACTAACACCACTAAAGGTACTCACACACTCACTCTGATCACTAACACCACTAAAGGTACTCACACACTCACTCTGATCACTAACACCACTAAAGGTACTCACACACTCGCTCTGATCACTAACACCACTAAAGGTACTCACACACTCACCTGTCCATCATTGTGTCTGTCCATTCAGAAAACTCCGCCTCTTTTTAATTGTGTTAAGTGTTCTTGTTTGTAAATTCAGAGAAACTAGACCTTTAAGATGAACATTATTTCATTCAAAGGAGAAATCAAAGCAGGAAGTGCCAAAAGGACGACTCTGAGACATGATGAGGTAATAACACACGCAAGGAACAACTGAACCGTACACACAGGTATGTTTATCATTATTCTCAGAAACACTCAAATCCAGAGGTGTTTTTATCCTCTGCAGGTGGGAGAAGACGAGGTCTGTTACGCCTCGCTGGACATCCAGAACATCAAGAAGAAGAAGAAGAAGAAGGTGAAGAGGAGAGTTCAGCACTCTGATTTCAGCACGTATTCAGAGGTCAGAACTGACAGAAGCTCAGGAGATGTCAGTGAATTTTGAAATGACTCCTGCATTATTTGATATACGTTGTTTTTTTGTTTGTTTGTTTTTTTAATCCTCAACAATGTTAAATGTAGAATATGACTTGATTTATAAACAGTATAGAAATCATTTGAGGCGCAAATTTAAAATGTTCCTCACTATTAAATTGATCATAATAGTGAAATAACGCTGATGATGTACAGAAGGTCTACAAGCATCACCTCAATGTCTCTCAGATAATTCTGTTCCTTGGTTCTTGGACACTCTGTCCTGGAAGTGATCCTCTAAAAGAAGGCTTTGGAGCAGTGTAGGGGCTGTGAGCAACCTTTAGGAGGTTTTCATTGTGAGGACCAGTACTCACTACACCAGATGAAACTTGATGTTGGACTCATCTCCTCCATCCTGGACCTCCTGCAAGCTTCACAACTTTTGACTGACTTTCTCTTTGTGCCTTGAATGCGCTAGATCACTGACAGAACGGGTGAAGGCAGATGTTTCCAGGCCTCCAATGTCCACGTCCAGCAGTTATGATAAGTTATTAATAAGTGATAAGGTAATGACTGCAGGGTCAGCCATGATACAGCGCCCCCTGGAGCAGAGAGGGTTAAGGGCCTTGCTCAGGGGCCTGACAGTGGCAGCTTGGCAGTGCTGGGACTTGAACCCCCGACCTTTCAATCAGTAACCCAGAGCCTTAACCATTAAGCCCCCACTGTCCCCTGATGATCTAAGCAGGACCATCCTTGATGGATCTGAGAGGAGAATTCAGAGAACTAGAGGTCCAAAAGTTCCTACAAAAATGAGAATTAAGACTAAGTTTTCTCTGCCAGGTTTGGGGTTACGGGGACCCACCACTGGAGCTAGGTCTGGGGATGGTGTCTGCAGCTGAGTACCTGGTGACTGGGCCACCAATTTAACCCAATGGTGATATGAAGCCATCTGGTGGGCTCATGAAGGTTCGGGGTCAGGTGGACAGCCAGGCATGTGATGGACAGTCTTAGATGGACTAGACCTGTGCAGTGGATTAAACTGTGGCTGGAAGGCTGTCATGGTGGTAACATTAGCATGCTACCTGCAACTACAGGATGTGGGAATGTGGTTTCTCCAGAGGATTCTTGGGCTTAGTCTCTGTGATAAGGTGAGAAGCTGAGCAATCTGAGAGAACCACGGAGTAGCTGTTGCTCCTTCGAGTTGAAATTGAGACTTGAGGTGTTTCAGGCACCTTACAAGAACACCCCCTCTTCGGCTCCTGATAGAGCTGGATCATGCACATCACACTGGATGCAGATCCAGAGAGAGACCCAGGATCCGCTGGAGAGATATCATCTCACGGTTGTCCTGGAAACATCTGGGGAGTCCCAGGAGGAGTGGGCATCTGTGGCCAGGTATAGAGAAATCTGGGCTGAACTTTTCAACCTGCTTCCAAGCAGAAGGAGAATGAATGTATGACCTTTGACCTCTGCTTTCTCTTCTCTATCTGTATTGTCAAAACTTTTGATTATTACTTGAAAGTTTTACTAGAAAGTCTTCCAGGCAAAAGGACAAAAATCCAGTAGAGTTATCATCTCAATTTTATGAAGAATATTCATGTTTAGTAGTTTTATTTACAGTCGGAGTTGACCACGCCCTCTTAAATTTAAACCTATTAATATACAATGTTACTCTGTTTTCTATGAAACTGTCATTTGTTCTAATAAAGTTAACAGTTTGGAGAATTGACAATAATGTGGTCATCGAGTCCAGTACACACTCCCAGTCATATATATACACATAACAACACACACACACACACACACACACACACACACACACACACACACTGTCTCACACACATGACAGTACATGCATCCACAAACACACAATATACAGAAACACACAAATTTACACAAATATACAAAAATACACAAATATATACACACACACACACACACGGGCGGCTGTGGATCAGGTGGTAGAGTGGGTTGTCCACTAATCGTAGGGTTGGCGGTTCGATTCCCGCCCCGGGTGACTCCACATGCCAAAGTGTCCTTGGCAAGGCACTGAACCCCAAGTTGCTCCCCCATGCAAGCTAGTGCCTTGAGTGGCAGCTCTGTTACCACTGGTGTGTGAGTGTGTGTGAGTGAATAGGTGAATGAAACACAGTTATAAGTGCACATTTACCATTTACATTTACAAATATACACAAACACACACACCTGGTTGAAACCGTAATAAAAATAGAAGGTGAATCTCTCCTCTTCTCTTAAACCCCAAGAGTGTGAAAGCAACAAGACAGGAAACCCACAGTGAGGCCCTGCAGCTCAGGACACACACACACACACACACACACACACACACGCTCACAGACACTCACACACACACAAACACATATACACACATCCTGTAAGCACTGTTTACACTCCTGTCATACTGAGAGAGAGACAGAGGAAACTTTTGTGGTTAGAGACGGTCACTTCATGAAGACAACAAAAACAACCAAAACACCTTTCAGTTTCTGAGAAACACACAGCCACAACACATACACACACACACATACATACACACTCAGACACACACTCACACACACACACACACACACACACACACACACACACACACAGGAAATGTATGGTAAGTTCTCTCAGGCCTCTGCAGCTAAAGCCACTTCCTGTGTGTCTTTAGATTCTGATCTAACATCAGCGTTACACTGTAGAAGTGAACTGATCAAAGCCGTTAATAACAGAGACACTGATCTTGGATCAGCTGAAACACACTGAATAGATTCACTTCAATATTCTGTAACGCCTTAAACACCTCTATTCACTTCTATTATTACATCACACTTCTTCATATTAGAACATAAATCTTTATTTTCTCTCCACAAATCTACCAACATCATTCTGTCTAACAAACATCTTCACCTGTTTACTTGTTTATTTGTTTATTTGTTTACTTGTTTACTTGTTTATTTGTTTATTTGTTTATTTGATAAATCCTGAAGTCATCAGATAAACACCTGAGCTGCTGAAGTTGGGACTAATCTGGTGTCTAAACGTCTCACACAACAAAGAGTGTAAAGACAGGTGAAGTTTGATCTCACGCTTTTCTAAACACCAGTTTAACCGCAACCAATGAGCTGCTAGAGAAACATTTTCCACTGGCGTGGACCAATCAGAATACAGAACACACGAGCGCATGAAAGATGTTCAGCAGCACGAGCCGCTCAGCACCAGTGTCTGAGATGGAGACATCAAGAGTCGCTCTCATCGCTCTCGTGTGTAAGTCTCATTCAACTTCTACACTTTCTACACCATTCACACCTGCTGGGGGCTTGTGTAGAAGTTTGTACCCCCTCCTTAGTGTAGTGGAAAGTGTGATGTTGTGTAGAAGTTTGTACCCCCTCCTTAGTGTAGTGGAAAGTGTGATGTTGTGTAGAAGTTTGTACCCCCTCCTTAGTGTAGTGTAAAGTGTGATGTTGTGTAGAAGTTTGTACCCCCTCCTTAGTGTAATGGAAAGTGTGATGTTGTGTAGAAGTTTGTACCCCCTCCTTAGTGTGATGTTGTGTTGCAGGTGTTGTGTTCTCCGGTCAGAAGAGGATCTCTGGAGCAGAAGTGGAGACGAGAGTCAGACGAGGAGACGACGTCACTCTCTACTCCGACTGTGTTGTGAAAGTTGGATTATATCCAGTGTGGTTCAGAAACTGTTCAGAAAAGGATCATCCTCGTGTCAGGATCTCACTTGTTGATTTAATCAATAGTGATGTCCTGGGTGGTGATTTTACACGTTACTCGTTTGTGGTAAATAACTCCATCAACACACACAGTCTGCTGATTAAGAACGTCAGTGAATCAGATCAGGGCGTGTACTACTGCGCTCTGAGTGAGAAAAAGGTTCTGGATAATAACATCGGTGTCACCGTCAACGGAAACAGATCCACTCGACTCTCTGTACTCGGTAAGATTATCTCCTATTCACTGAGCTGGATTTTCAGACATTTGGAGTTCTTGCAGTTTTGTGTTCTTCAGCAGAACCCTGTGGCAGTGTGTGTGTGTGTGGTGTGTGGTGTGTGTGTGTCTGTGTGGTGTGTGTGTGTGTGTATGTGTGTGTGTGTGTGTGTGTGTGTGTGTGTGTGTGTGTGTGTGTGTGTGTGTGTGTGTGTGTGTGTGTGTGTGTGTGTTCATCAGGGACATATCCTCCATGCTATACCGTCTCTCCAAACACCCCGACCCCGTGTGTATCAGAGTGGAGTGTTAGCTGGAAGCTGGTGTTGGTGTGTGTGCTGTGTGTGTTCTCCTCTCCTCACTCCTCTCCTCCATCTTGTGTGTACTGCCTCTGCACTAACACCACTAAAGGTACTCACACACTCACTCTGATCACTAACACCACTAAAGGTACTCACACACTCACTCTGATCACTAACACCACTAAAGGTACTCACACACTCACTCTGATCACTAACACCACTAAAGGTACTCACACACTCGCTCTGATCACTAACACCACTAAAGGTACTCACACACTCACTCTGATCACTAACACCACTAAAGGTACTCACACACTCACTCTGATCACTAACACCACTAAAGGTACTCACACACTCACTCTAATCACTAACACCACTAAAGGTACTCACACACTCACTCTGATCACTAACAGCACTAAAGGTACTCACACACTCACTCTGATCACTAACACCACTAAAGGTACTCACACACTCACTCTGATCACTAACACCACTAAAGGTACTCACACACTCACTCTAATCACTAACACCACTAAAGGTACTCACACACTCACTCTGATCACTAACACCACTAAAGGTACTCACACACTCACTCTGATCACTAACACCACTAAAGGTACTCACACACTCACTCTGATCACTAACACCACTAAAGGTACTCACACACTCGCTCTGATCACTAACACCACTAAAGGTACTCACACACTCGCTCTGATCACTAACACCACTAAAGGTACTCACACACTCACTCTGATCACTAACAGCGTTCCACCATGAATTACAACAGTAAACTCCGCTCTCTACGCATTTCGTCATGTATTTGGGGGTGTGGCTTCAGAGGATCGGCGTTTCCTCACAATGTTTAACTTTTACTTTTAACTAGCTAGCTTAATAACTTTCACCACTTTCCTTCACGGCAGAAACGGAAGGCCGAACTGACAGGAAGTGACAAAAGGACGACTTGGGGACACGATGAGGTAGGGTATATTAGAATCTAGTACGGAGGTACGAACATAAATATCAAAAATGCCATTTGCAGCAACTAATATCACAAGATACGATATCTTTCAGAAACTTCTAGAAGCACTCAAACATCTGCTTCTGGTCTTTTCCCACCGCAGGTTGAAGTTGAGGTCTGTTACGCCTCGTTGGACATCCAGAACCTGAAGAAGAAGAAGAAGAAGAAGAAGAAGAGGAGAGTTCAGAACTCTGAGTTCAGCACGTATTCAGAAGTCAGAATCGAGAGAACCGAACAGTGCTGAGGACACGCCAATGACTTCTGAAATTTATTTACATCAAAGTGCATCATCTGATCAATTTGATAAATATTTCGAGGTGCATTTTCATTTCCGGTCTCTGTTTAGATGCTCATTATCTTTTTTTTTTTTTTTAATGAAATATGATACTGACACTGACTAAACTGTTCAAACTTTTATTTTGAAACATCTCATTTTCATATTCTCGCTGCTGTGAAACATAAATATATTCTATTTAA